AAACCATGCCTAAACAAACTACTTGTCTTGCCTATAAATTTTGATACATAATTTTTTTTTTTTTTATCACTTCGGGGTAGGTGCGTGAACCGAAAATTCTGAAAAAAAAGAAAAAACACTTTATCTGTAGAGTGGTACAGGGATCCTCCATAGGGAGAGGCATATGACATATAGTCTTCAGTGAGGTATGAAAAATAGTAGTTATTGATTAGCTAATAGTGAACTACCACATTCGACTGAGCGCTATTACTTACTAATTCGTTAATCAGAGTTTCTTGTTAGTTAATAGTAGTAACTAGAGTGATAATAATGCGTTACTCATTTGTTCCTGTGTAGTTATTCATTAATGAAGGAACCGTATTCTAAAGTGTTACCGAAAAAAGAATTTCAACTCCTGCACTAGTATTAGATACCATGGCATAAAGGGGTGGTTCAGAATTTTGGACATCGGGCCTCATTTCCAAGTTAGCCTTAGTGTTATTTATCAGTGGAGACAACAGTGCGAATCAACGGTAACTGCTAGCCTGCCATTAAATACAGTTTTACCCACTCCACAGTACACCAAAAGCAAATAAATTATAACGCCAGACTATCGATGTAAATGTCTGTTGAGAGAATAATGTTAGAAATCAAACTACCCTTTCATTGCATTGCAATAGTTATACTTTGTTCCCTGTATTTATTAGCACAGTCTACAGCAGCGGCGGAGTGATATGTAGTTACCTAGGCAACCGAGAGAGGTAGTGAGAGAGAAAGGTAGAGAGAGGTAGTGCAGGTAGTCCCGACTGTAGTGCGCTTCGGTTCTGTGTTTACTTTTCGGCGCAGTACTACTAACCGGAGCAAAGTAAAATTCTGCCGCTGCTGAGAAACTAGTTCCTGTAAATGTATTGCGATCATTGAGATGCAAGAGTAGTTTGATTTTTAACATTATTCTCTTAACAGACATTTACATCGATAGTCTGGCGTTATCATTTATTTGCGTTTGGTGAACTGTGGAGTGGGTAAAACTGTTTTTAATGGCAGGCTAGCAGTTACCGTTGACTCGCGCTAGCCTAGCACCGGCGAACTATGCAACTGGAACGACTGGATGAAAATTTTTGAAAACTGTCCACTGATAAAATAACACCAAGGCTAACTTGGAAATGGGGCCCGATGTCCAAAATCCTGAACCACCCCTTTAAGAAGCTTTCTCCCTCCCACCATAAACCCTAGTCTACCTCATTCTTAAAATCACTGAGTTTCTTGCAACAAGATTACATTAATATTTTTCAGATTAATAAGGTCTAACAAAGCATCATTCTTTGCCTTATCTTTTGTCTTATTGCAGTTATGTGCTTTTTGAGATGGAAATGTTTCTGCTGTGATATTTCTTTGTAAGAGCTGTTTTTCCTTAACCACGTCACAGAAGTTACAAACTTCTCAAAGTCTGGAAAAAAAGTCCCTACTTCAACTCCCACTTTTCCTTTTGTCACATCCAGAAATCTATTAATTTCATTAACAGTATACAAGTCCTTTGCCACATCCAAACCATCTAACCATTGCTCATCATCTCTTGAGCCCTCATCCGTGCATTGAGAAAGTATTTCCAAATCAACACCTGGGAAAGGGGTGTAATGGCATGATTATGTTCCGTTTTATTTTTATGGTTTTCCTGTGTTCCCAGAATTCTCGTTTCCAGTTAGTTGTCATGATTTCTAATTGAGTTGCGCACCCATTACCCATTCTGTTAATCATCCCTGTGTTTATTTAAGCCCTCAGTTCTTTCTGTTCTTTGTTTGGTGTCATCTTGGTTAAATGTGTACAGCCCTTTTTAAGTCATTCCACAAGTTTTTTCTTTTCAATTGGATTTAGGTCTGGGGTCTGACTGGTCTATTCCAAAACATTATTTTTTTCTGAAGCCGTTCCGTTGTTGACTTAGATTTGTGTTTGAGGTTATTATTGTGCTGAAAGATAAAATGCATCTTCAGATGTTAATAGAGGCCTGCAAGTTTTGTGTTTCAAAATTATTGGTATTTGCTTCTATCTTGACTACTACCCCAGTCCCAGCTGAAGAGAAGCAGCCCTATAGCAGCATGATGCTTGCACCACCATGCTTTGTGGTTATGGTGTTGTTTGAGTCATGAGCAGTCTTGATTTGTGCTAAATGTATGTGTGGCAAGCAGGGCAGGGAAGAAAGCCGTGGGAACAGGCCAGGAACAAGTGCTAATGAACAGAACCTGCAATGTCTCTCCCCAACAGACAGGCACAGCAGGATTTTATTAGGTGCTTCTCAAATGGAATTCTGCATCCTAGTGAGGCTGTGTCTTTACAGTCCAGTCGTTTTGGAGGCTTGTAGTCCTCCTCAGCAGGGGCGTCACTAGGATTTTCATTTTAGGGGGGCTAAGCCCCCAATATGATTTTTTTTTTTTAAATAAAAAAATGTAACACTTTAGTTTAGGATCTAAAGATCACTATTAACCATTTTCATTACGATGCAAAGGCACGGTTTTATAATAACTGTGGTCCCTAATGTGAGGTAGGGCAAAAAAGGGGGTTCGGGGTCTCCCCGAGAAAATTTTGATTTCTCTGATCTACATATGTGCATTTTAAGATGTTCTGAAGGCCAAAAAACTTGGATAGTGCAGCAGCTGATTATTTTTCTCTCCTCATCAGCATCACACTCTTTTTCTCTTTGTTTTTATCTTGCTCTGTCTCTTCCCCTCCTAAAGCTGAGCTTTGACTGATATAGGCTTTTCATTTTTGTCTGTCAGTGAAGAAAGTAAACATAGGGTCAACTGATAGGTTGATTTTGCCTATGAATCATTTTCTCAGACGCGTTTATTTACTGAAAGCTACTAAAGGTAATTAAGTTTATTAAATGCATTCACAATATGTAGGCTACACATTTATTATTGATCTTATGCCTAATACAGGGCCGTAGACAGGGCTTTAGTCACAGAGGTCCTAAATTTGAGGTTGGTAGGGGGTTCAAATTTTTTATTTCTCTGATATGTGCATTTCAAGACGTTTGAAGACCAAAAAAGGATAAAAAATAGCTTTAAAACCATGTCAGTGCGGGCAGATTATTTGTCAATACCTGCTCTCTTCTCATCTCCATCACTCTTTCTTTTTTTCTCAGTCTCTTCGTCCCTTTCTCTTCCCCTCCTAAAGCTGAGCTTTTTTAATTTACTAAAGGCTACAATTTGTATTATATCCTCAATATGTACACATTCATTATTAATCTTGTGCCTAACATGATGAAAACGGCTTTGTTAATGTTTCTTGTAAACTAATTATTACATTACATGAGTCACGTTACAGCCTATTTTCAGTTCAAAATGGCGAAATTAGACAAAACTATATTAGTTTGCCTGATTATTTTTTGTCATTCGTTTAACATTTATGACCTAAAAAAAGTAAAATATGAAATGTTAGGTTTAGCTACTTACATCTTATCTCGCACTTGACCGTACGCGTCGAGTCGCACTGTTAAAATTCGCGCTCAGCAGCGTCTGTGAACATAAAGCCCGCCTACTTTGATTTGATTGGTCATCTCAAATATTCTGACATTGACGAGCAGTGACAGACCAATGAGGCTCAGATGAACACACATGAACACACACACACACCCTGTCCTCTGTTTCTGACGTGCTCTCTGTCGGCGCCGCTGCGGATTGAAGATGAAGAACGCGCTGAATCTGATTATAACAAGACTGAAGCGAACACGAATTTGTGTAGCCTACATTAATCTCACATTTTTAGGGGGGCTAGGCAGAAGTTTAGGGGGGCTGAAGCCCCCCTAAAAAGGGCCTAGTGACGCCCCTGCTCCTCAGCATTAAACACTAGAATGAGACGAGACAAGTAAGTGTGCATGCATGGCTGTGTCAAATTATAATTATAGTTTGTAAAATATATTAAAAACTGTCCTTCTATTTACGCAGTACAGCTAATGACAACAATTTGTGGTCTCCTACTGGTTTACATTGTGCACAGTTCAGCATTATATTAATTTACAACAAAACAAACAAAAACATAATGCCTTTATCTCAAATAATTTTTGGGTCTTGCATTACGTAGTCAAACTGGACTAGCTCAGTGCTGATTTACTTTCTGCTAATTCTTTTTTGTGAATTGGATTGTGGGGGATTAGAGGACGCAAAGGATACATTTGATGCATTCTTCAAAGCAGGCCGAATAAAAGATGCGAAACAAAGGCTGCCTTCAAAGGATTCTTTAAATTGAGACGTCCTTTGCTGGAGCTTGATGATGTGGCAGCCAAGATATGCAGTCTTACTTGGACGCAGCCTTCCAATTAAGAAGCGCCTATCTTGTCTCTCTACTCACTGCAAAATTAAAACACCTGTTAGATCTCACTAACCAGAGGCTTTTCCCTCGCCAATTGCGTCTCCCGTCGTCGCTCCCAAACTGCAATGAATGCTAAACCATGTCGACCTTCCCACAAGACCTTTTAAAAATGTATGGCCCAAAAGTTCAATTTGGTTTTATCAGACCCTAAAATATTTTTCCACATGGTCATGTTTTTTTTTTTTTATTAATGGTTTGTGTCTAGCCACCCTATTTCATTGCCCAGACAATATGAAGAATATAGGATAGTGTTGTCACTGGCAATATAAAGACTAAGAATATGCTAAGATGCTAAAATCACAGAAAAAGCTGATTTTTATACAGAGTTAATCAGCATCATTAAAATGATGATGAGTATTATGATTACTTTTCAGTAAAAGTTTTAATTGATTATGTTTTAATGTTAATTCCAAACAGAGTATAATGCCCTGCAATGCCCCGGGTGTGCACACTAATGCAATTTTTTGCAATCCACTCTAAATGTGTACATTTTATTTAATTCATAATGAATTCATCATTAATTTACATAATGCCAAGGAAATGCAGTGAATGAGTTCTGATGACACTGGGTTGCAATATAAATGTGCTAATAAATCTAGATATAACCAAATTGTTGTTTTAAAAATTATCTGGTTGTTGCTTTATTGATTCTCCAGGGTCTCGTGTGAATGGTCAAACACGGTTAGAACGGCACATGGCCGGCTATGAAAGCTCCTCCACCATGATGAGCAGTGACCTGGACACCACCAGCTTCTGTGACTCAGATGAGGATGGCACCATGAGCAGGTACACAGTGTGTAACTGGAAAAAGTAGTACCTCGTAGTAGTAAATGTGGTTTTCGAGAGGATTTAGAACTCAGATATTGACAGCAGCTGTCTGTCAGGCCTGAAATAGACATCTAAAAAGTGGTCTTCTCTTACAAATGTATTTAGTTTATACAAGTTTATGCTCATAAATGTTGAATTGGATTTGATATTTAGGTTTGTGCACAGTCTCTATCTTCCTCAAAGGATATAATGATGTCTGACAACTACATATTGGCATGATTTTATAAATGAATGCTGTGGAACATATCACTAGTTTTTTTGTTTGTTTGTTTTTCATCTTTTACATGTTTTAATGTCTTGTTCAATTTTCTATGCAGGTTTAGTAGTTCTACAGAACAGAGTACAGCCTCCAGATTGTTAAAGAGACACCGCAGGCGTAGGAAACAGCGGCCACCGAGACTAGAACGGGTAAAGCAGCATCAACTGTTTTGTGAAATATTAACAGTTAAAAAAAATATATAATTATTGACAAACCTTCTCAGAGGTTCTCAGTTGTATTTGTCAGTATATAAATATAATAAATAGAAAATGTATGCACTCTGTTGCTTAACTGTTATACTGCGAATTCAGGTTACTTGTATATTCCAGGATGTAATATCATTACATTATACTTGTCATTTGCTGCCTCAAATTGATTTTATTTATTGTGTTATTTTAGGCATCGTCATTCAGCAGTGTGACTGACTCCACAATGTCACTCAACATCATCACTGTTACTCTCAATATGGGTGAGTTCAATTTGTAACAATTATTGGTATTTCAAAAATACTTTTGTGTCTTAGTTTTTATCTAAAACTTTTCATAATGTAATAAAATAAACATAGACTAGCTGTATCTAGCATGGATTTATGTAATTTTCTCGCTCTCTGTCTCAACAAGATAAATATAATTTCTTGGGCATCAGTATTGTTGGTCAGAGTAATGAGCGGGGGGATGGAGGCATCTACATCGGCTCCATTATGAAGGGAGGAGCCGTGGCGGCGGATGGGCGAATAGAGCCTGGAGACATGTTGCTGCAGGTGCTGCACTTTCTCTCCATTTATCTGTTCATTCTGATGTTTGTCATTTTGATATTCATTATAAAGTCTCTTTCCATCTGCAGGTGAATGATATAAACTTTGAGAACATGAGTAATGATGATGCTGTAAAGGTGCTAAGAGACATTTTACACAAACCTGGGTGAGTCTTACAAACATCTCTTTGAGTTATGACCTAAAGGTTTTGTGGTAAAACGTCACGTTTGAACATTGCATTGAGTGTGTGTTTACGTGTGTTTGGCTGTAGACCCATCATCCTGACTGTGGCTAAGTGCTGGGACCCTTCACCTCAGGGATACTTCACACTGCCCTGCAGTGAGTAACTCTGAATTATAAAATTATTGATTGAGATGTAATAGAGATCTAAACTTCTTTCTTGAACTAAACTTTACTCCTGTTATTTTTAGATGAGCCGATCCGACCCATTGACCCTGCTGTGTGGGTAACTCACTCTGTGGCCATGAGTGGTGGAGCATACCCTCCTTACCCTCCCAGCACCATCACTTCCAGCTCATCTGTTACAGAGACTGAGAGTAATCCCTTGTCTTTCACTCTCTTTCTCACTTTTTCTTTAAATCCTTATCTTTAATATCCATTACATTAAAGGGGTCATATAATGGTACATGCACTTTTACAAGTTGATTGTACTGAAATGTGTGTTGGCAGTGCCTGTACACAACCATCATAAAATGAAAAAAATCCATCCAGTGTTTTTGTTTTAATCTCCTTATATGTTTTCCCCTGCCTCAAATTGAGCCGTTCGATTTTGTGACGTCACACGCTCGGAAGCCCCTCCCACGATTGTTGATTGACAGCATCGTTTCAACACAGACAATCATAGTCTGCGCAGACCGGCGCGGTCATTGTTGATATGCTGGAGCACTGTCTATGAGCAGAATGGCGTCTAAGCGATTGTGGTGTTCTGTTCTTGGGTGCAATAACGAACACAGCAGTCATTTTAATGTTCCTAAATCCGAACCGCTGAAGACGCAGTGGCTGAGTTTGTTTTCGAAGGGAATATTCCCCACGAGCAACGTCAATGCTTTCATGTTTGCGCGAATCATTTCTCACCAGACTGCTTTATAAACGAGGGTCAGTATGAGCTGGTTTTGCTAAGAAGCTGCTCATGAAAAAAGGATCGGTACCAGCTATTCGTGTTCCTGCTGAACCTCTAGAACAACTGAAGTGAGTGTAACGTTTTATTAAACTTTATATTAATATTTATATTAATCTTTGCAAATCGCTAGCTGCACGCTTCACAATGAATGCGTCTAAGGTTTACACTTAGGGTACATTACGGCATGTTTTCTATGTATGATGTTCTCAATATAATTCATAATCCCACGTTTATACTGAACAACGCGTTATGGTTATTGTGTTATTGTGTTACAAACGGTGTACACACAGAACAGAGAGGCGGGGTGAGCAAACCTCATTATCATTTAAAGTCATATGCACTGAAACGGCGTGCTGAAAACAGAGCTGTTTTTGACCAAGTAAAATAAGTGTTTTCTTACAATACTAATGAGAATTTTTAATTAAAGTATATTACAAATTTTTAATTTAGACCCTAAAGAATCATACTAGCTTGTACAAAAATGGCATTATATGACCCCTTTTACCACTCCTTTCTTTGACCTATGAAAGTTGTTGACTGCGTTTACAAACACACAATAAAATAATACAGCTTTACAGTGATACAAGAAAGTGATGCATTTCGGCTGTTGTTCAGCTAAAGTCAGTTCAGTGTTGATTCAGTTGTTAGCCATGTTAGCTGTTATAGTTTTTCAATTAAAAACTATACATCCAAGTGGATGCTGCACACTGGTGATCGTTGAGGAAAGATTGCCTGATATGATTGTAAAGCGCTTTGGGAGAACAGTAGTACATATGAAAGCGCTATATGCCTCATAAATGCCTCATTCATTCATTAATTCATTCAATTCAATTCACATTTATTTGTATAGCGCTTTTCATAATACACATTGTTTCAAAGGAGCTTTACAGAAAATGCATGAGTCCACTTTGCAATTGAGAGTGATCTGTTATCAGAGTATTTCAGAAATGTACATATACAAATCACAGTTAGCTAAAAATGTATTAATTTAAGCAATGTAATAATTTAAGGCAGAAACAATGAGCTCATTGAAGTAATGAATACTTGTTTGTTAGCAAATGATTATGACATATAGAAAATTATAGCATTGGTGCATGTTGATTCAGAGTTAGCGTCAACTGAAGTCTTCGCAGGAGTTGGCGCCATCTCTTCACAGGTGTTGGGGCATCTGAAGTCTTCATAATAGGCTGGATCCAAACTGGAGCTGACATACTCTCTAGTTACCTCAGGATGGGTATCCCGAGATAAAACAAAGAAGCAAATAGAAAATAATTAGCTTAGCTGCTGTTCATAACATTAAGCAAGGATAATCATGTGCATTTGATCTGATATAACTGGAGTGTAAGGTTATGAGATGCATTAAATGAATGCTAGGCTAAAGAGCTGCGTCTTTAATCTAGATTTAAACTGGGGGAGCGAATTTGAGCCCTAATCCAGAGTTTAGGAGCCAAATGTGAAAACGCTTTCCCCCCATTTAGTGGACTTGCATATCCTAGGTACTACCTGACACGCTTTTGAAGCACGTGGTCCAGATATTGGGCAAACGTGCCTGGGATTGCTGCCACTGGAGCTTGCTGGTACAGATCTGCATCCAATCCACACCAAAATACAGTTTTTAGGGCGTCATTTGCCCAGCTTACCCCATGAGAAATCTCCAGGAACTCGGCAACATATTCCTCGATCTGGCGGCCCTCCTAGAAGCTAGGGATGTTACATTTGACACTGGAGCGAGTACGCAGCGCAATTTCTCATGAAGCTCCGTGCGCGTATTGTTTTCAGAGAAAACAATCTTTCCAGTCACGTGAATGCTTCACTTTGCATGTCGGAATGTTTGAACCCAGACCATTTACTAACATTTTTTTTTAATATATATATATATATATACAGTATGTATAAATAAGCCTATAGCCTATGTTACATGATCATATATTCTGACACATAAACAGCATAGAAACCATAAATTAGACCAACATTTACTTGCATCAAGCAACTCTGTTGGTATTTAGCATTGGCAGGCTTTTATTTGTGCTTAATGGATAAAACAACGGCGCTGGGCACTCAGCTGCTCATAAACATGGCTGCTATAAATTTGACCTGCCACAAGATGGCGCTGTTTTCGACACTCTTGATGCTTCAAATCTTTTCCCGAAACATTCAGGGGAAAGCCTCAATGCTTCATGAGGCTTCATTTGCCCATCCCTACTGTAAGCAGGTCACCAGTCGAGTGACGGGATCAGAAGGGGTGAGGAGAACACCCATTCTGTTTTCTTTTTGGTCGGTTCTTCTGTCACGCTTTTGGCTGTGTGAGGCACGTCAAAGCAGACTCAGACGACAGGATGAAGTGACAACAGGAATTTAATATAAACAGAAACGTTCCAAAACTACAACTCAGTGTGGACGAGAACCGACCGTGAACAGAGAACAATGAGGAACTTAAATACACAGATGAAATAGGAAGACAAGGTGACAACAGCTGAACATGGTGAGTGATGATGATCGCTGGCAGGTGCGGGTAATGGTGAAGTGAGTGCAGGTGTGAGCCGGAGAGGATGATGGGACATGTAGTGAAGACGGTGACTAACAGGTGACCGTGACACTACCAGAAGCCCAGAATTTTTTTTTTTTTTTTTTTAACATTTGTTTATTGATTTTTCCAGTGACATAACAAAATCAAGAGGTAACAATTCGGGAGTCAAAACAGTGTCAAATACAACTAACAAGAAATCAAAATAAAATAAAGAAATAAAATACAAAAAACAACCCCCAAAAACAAATAAACAGAACAAAACAAAAACACACACAAAAAAAAAAAACAGTCACCCACTGCAAAATAAAAGCCCAATATGTTCACTTACAGAGAGATAAATAAAAAACATCCCAGCATGCTACAAATTTCCACAAGAAAAAAACTCACAATTAGAAGACAATCAGGGTGGCTACTCTGGAATAGCTGTAAAAGTCAATCCCTCAACATGTGCAAAAAATGGACCCCAGGTTTTATTAAACTTTGCAAGAGAACCATGTATCGAGCACCTAACTTTCTCCAACTTCACGAACTGAAGGATGTCCCTGATCCAAGACAAGTGAGAAGGCGGCGCAGGAGACTTCCACCTCAATAAAATCAAACGTCTAGCCAATAAGGAGATAAAGGCTACAAAGTCAGCTTTATATTTAGGAAGCTGCAAAGTAGGAGGCAAACCCCCAAACACAGCGGTACATGCTGTTGGGTCAAATGGAACCCCTGTACAAACAGAAATAGAATTAAATATCTGCGTCCAAAAATTATGTAGTGAAGGGCAAGACCAGAACATATGGGCATGGGTAGCTGGAGCCTGACGACATCTAATGCACATGGGATCGACATCATTATAGATTTTAGAAAGCCTAACTCGAGTGAGATGGGTACGATGTAGAATTTTGCACTGGGTCAGACCATGTCTAGCACAAATTGAAGAGGAGTGAACCCGACGCAAAATGGCCTCCCACAGATCCTCCGAGATCCCTTCCCCTAGATCCTCCTCCCATTGGGTTTTAATTTAATGCTGCGGGGTAAGCTGCAAAGAATAGATAAGATTGTATAAACATGAAATAGCACCCTTAATGGTAGGCAATGGGGTTAAAAAGGAGTCAACTAGAGAGGCACCAGAATTTTTTTTTTACCTTAAAGAGCACGATGGATTGTTAGGCGATAGAAGATCAGTTAATACAGCTAAACCATTGATATTGATACGTAATTGATACGTAACTTAATAGGTGTAGAGATGATAAAATTGGTGTTATATGATCATATTTTCTTGACCTGTAAGAACTCTTGCCACTGCATTTTAGATTAATTGTAGCTTGTTTATTGAGGATGAAGTACAAACAGCTAGGAATGCGTTACAGTAATCTAGTCTAGAGGTCATCTGCATCAGAAACAGATACCATGTTCCAGAGGCTGTTTTTGTAACATGAAATATGATTTTCGAAAGACAAGTTGCTGTCTAATATAAGTCCCCAGGTCGTGAAGAATGAAGTAACAGTACATCCTTCTAAATGCAAATTGTATTCTAAGAAATTCTGTGTACAGGATTTTGGTCCAATAAGATAGTTAAACTCAGTCTTAGCTGAATTTAATGGAAGAAAATTACAGGTCATCAAATATTTTATATCTTTAACACACTCTGTCAATAATTTAGAGATTTCATCTGGTCATAATGAAATATATAACTGAGTATCATCGGCATAACAGTGGAAACTAATTCCATTTTTTCTATAATATTACCATGTGGCTGTCAGGGATCACAGACGAATCAGACAAGATGGTAAGTTTTACTGCTTTATTTGTGCAGAAGGATCGTAGTCGGAGATAACAGGTGAGAAACCAATGACATAGAAACATAAAGGAAGCTTAGCTGTGGTTAATGTCCTTTTCTC